GCGAGGCTTGTTAAAGAAAGCTATTGTAATGAGGTGTCACGCTCTTGTTAATTGTTAATCGTCACGGTACGTACCGATTTCGCTGTCAACTCCATTGCCATTGATCGAGTAATCATAGTTGCTGCGGTCGACGTGATCCGCAGACTTATTCGGCTGTACGCCGGTGTAGTTAAAGGATATGTTGCTGCGCATATGATTTTTCGGGTTTGGGGTTGGGTCACCGTGAGGACCGAACAGTCGTGCGTGTGAATCTTTACCAGATTTTCTGCGCAGCGTCTCCACTTCGCTACTCCCATTGGACGAGGGTTGCTGCTGCTGGTGCTGCTGCTGGTGCTGCTGCTGCTGCTGCTGCTGCTGGGCCTGATCCCCGAAGAAGTTGGAGCCAAGCTGTGACCGATTGTAGTTTTGCTTGACGCGTCGGGGACTGTCGACCTCGTTACCGGAGCCGAAGATATCGCTGCTCCCGCCGCCAGGTGGCTTTAACACCCTGTAAAAGACCAATTGATCGATTAGTCGAACGGCTGGTTATTGGGATTGTTCCATTTGCCTAGGAATAAGGTTGGGATTAGCGCAAACGCCCGTGTTGCTGCTGGTTTTATGCGTTTGAGGGTGAGAAGTAGCTAATGGGGCCGTGGCTCGGTGACCATGACAAGGGCCCGGTGGTGGGCGGGGAGATGGGGATGGGTGATGGGGTGATTTAGGAGGAGGGGGAGAGGGGAGTGGGGGGAAGAGAGCTGGCGGAGAGAACAGATATAGGAAGCGCGCGTGCTTCACGACGGGATTAATGTCAAACTCGATAGTATCGTTGAGCCAAGTCGAATCGCCTTCACCCGATCAATCACGATCTCGTACAGCGAGCGCCTTCGACTTTACATTGAATTCCAAATGAGCATTGCTAAATGCCTTCGAGGCATTGTGGATCGAAACGATCCTTCTCATCTACATTCATTTAATTTCGTAAGTTCAATGCGTTGACTTTGAGGGTGATTTGAAATTAATTATTCCGATAAGAAGGAGCCCGAGCTTTCGAAATTCAATCATCGTAATCCCTATTTTTTACAACGGCTTTTTTTTGTTTGCATTCCTATTTACCATTTCTTGTTTATATTATTATCATTATTATCATTATCATCACGATGATGATGATGATGATGATGATGATGATGATGATGATGCTGATGATGATTATTATTATTATTATTACGTTAATAAAACCGTTTCGCTACAAAGCAAACAAAAAATCTATTATGTCTTGTAATTAAACTTAATGTAATCTTATTTATTTAATAAACTCATATTTTTTATGACTCCGTTGTGTTCGTTGTAGGCATTGTGTTAAAGTACCATAACAACTTGCGTATTTTTTCATAAATACTATTTAAGTTGGGCATAGAATGCGTCATGTCATGCATCTAAGAAACATCAGTCACAATATGTCAGATTGAATTACGATCGTAAGAGTTTATGAGAATTTTATACCAGCGAGATATCTACCTGTGCCAATGATCTTACCTTTCTCTTCTAGCGATTAAAGCTTTACCCCTCATGATGTAAATGAAGATTCGTGAAAAATATTCCTTGCGGGCAATGATAAAGTGCAATTGTCGCCAAATACCTATAATACTTGGCTAATAAATCGTAATAAATTAGCCGCAATCCCAAAGTGATCTTTATTCGTTATTTCACTTCCCTTGATGAAGCGTAAGAAGTAAGTTAGTTGGCCAGTGTTAGACTTATTCGTAACCGCTAAAACGCTGAGAAGTCGTTTCGCCAATAAATTATCCGACGTTAAAAATGAAAAATTTACGTGCAAAATAAAAAAAAAAAGGGCGTCGGATGGAAAGAACGCTAAAATTGTAAAATTGGAGAACGTATTTTCGTTCAAGTGCATCTCAATTGCCTCAACGACAGTCGCTTTAAAATTTATTACGTCAGGATGCTAAGCAGGAAGGACACATAGCCTACGATACGATGTCCTATCCCCAGCGCTATTAAACAAGCGAACATTTTATAAATCGACTTCTCGGTGGCGCTCGTGGAATCCCCCCCACCCGCCGTCGGCATCCCCGCGTCCACGTGTCTTACATCTGTCACAATCACGTCCAAGTCCAAAAAAGGGTCCAAGAGGGCTCGAAGGGCAAAAGGGTCGGCGCCCGTCCCCGCCGTACAAGCCTTCGCGCACTCGAGGGTCTCCAATTACGCAGAAGGCACACGCACCGATCGCCCTCGAGCTTATTCGAGTGCGCGTGGGTGCATATTCGGGCGTGTCGAAGGCGTTCATTAGCGAGTTTAACGATTTCCATTAGCGTCGCGTCGTCTCGTGCCGCAATTAGTCACGAAATCTGCAGCAATACGTCTGACTGCCTATTCTCCATCACTTGTTTTTTGTTATTACCGCGGCACGATCAAAGTGGCCTTTGCGCGCTTCTCCCGGTGCTTTTTTCATTATTTCGGATAAAGAGGAGAAGCGGTCGTCACGGTGAGCTCGCCGCGCATCATTTCGATTGTCTTGCGGGGCGCAATTACTTAAAAATTACGCGTTTGCTGCGCTATTGTAGTATATAATTTAAAGCGAGAGCTTGAGAGACTTTGAAATGTAAGCAGGATGATTTTACAGGGATTATGCGAAATTTCAAGAAAGGTGGTGCAGATATTTTGCCCGTTCTGTACTCTCCACTGAATACGTATTTTTCCAAGGAAAACATTTATAAAGGTGGAATTGAAAATTCGGTAATACGTACGTTCGGCGATATGTATTACGGATATTACTTATAGGCTTTATATTTTTTATCTTCATTCCTCTTTAATTCGGCAATTGATTAAAAAATAAAGCGCTATCTTAATTTCATACTAGGAATTATTATCATTTCATGGAGAAATCATTGAAGAATATGAAGATAACGTTTAGACGCGCTGCAAGTAAAGTTTGACATGCAATCAATTGCTTACTACACACGAGCACTGGCCACACACTTCCACACCTCCACACCTCCACACCTCCACACCTCCACACACACACACACCTCCACACATCCACACATCCACACACACACACTCTCTCTCTCTCTCTCTCTCTCTCTCTCTTTATTTTATGTCATAATTGAGATTTTAACGTCTCAGCTTACCGCTATCGTAAACTTTATCAATAACTTCTAGTAATTTATCGACTAAAAAGATCGATCCTCGTTTAAACAAAATTACTATCTTGTGCAGACCAGTTGATTTTTGTCACTTAAAAGCTCGCTATTTTAACGAAAAATTATTTTTAATTAATATCTCTCGGTTCATTTTTCTTAATATTTAATTGATATTCCCGTACGGAGAGAGAGAGAGAGAGAGAGAGAGAGAGAGAGAGAGAGAGAGATAGAGTTTAATAATGTTATATTTTTATACGAGCCTCGTATATCTTTGGATCATTGATTTATGAAAAATTCGACGATTAGAGTCTTCGAATCGATATACTTAATTTTGCACTTTTAGATTCATTTTATTTATCTAATTAGCTAAAAGTAGAGAATGTTGAGCAACCAAATATTACACAAATTAACTTTCATCCGTATGAGAGGGATTTTCATTTTATCATTAAGATTACATTTTATCTTTCAAGATACGTTCTACAGATTTATTTAACGAGTAATACATATTTATAATCACATTAAAACGAATCTTTAATTCTAACGTGATATGAAAAAAAGTTTTTATTTGCATAAATTGAATGCCTTGTCTCGGATTAAGACGTCTAACGTCCCATACTTTTATTGCATTTGCGAAAAATATTTTGCACAAGCCTCGCTCAACGGCGAATGAAGTTACATCTTCTTGCACGATGGTGGAATACAAAATCAATCCCACCCCGCCAGAGCGACTCGTTTGTGTATAAATTAAGCAAGGGTAATTGCAAAGACGATTCCGATGCCCGATTGTTTTGTCCCTCCAACAGTTCATTGTTAATTGTTTGCTTGCTTGCGCTCTAGAGCGATAGTAATTGTTATCTTTTGCTTGAGCTCCTGCCGCTGCCACCGCCACCGCACCGGAAGTGTTAACCGCAACGGGAAGCGCGCCCAGAAAGTCGAGCATTTTTCTTCCTTCGCTGATAGTCCATTTACAATATAATGCAATAAATTTAGCAAGTTAATAAATCTCTGTCATTTCCATTGTACCTAAATTATACGTGACCTGAGTGAAATTATGCACCTGTAATGATTTTCTTTTTTTCGTTTTTTTTTTCTTTTCTTTTCTTTTTTTTTTAACATACACACTATCAGATGAAATACTATATATTACAACTTTTTTCAATTTACCGTAAATAATTGCTGGGTATAACAATCGTGATAACAGTTCATCAGCATCGAATATATTATATTTTTAGGTGAAAAATTCGGCGGGCATTGTTATTTAAATTTATTTAAATAAAATTATTTATTAAATAATTACTTTATTATATGTAGCTCTTAACGTTAATTTCACTATGGACTGCGAAACGCATTTGTATATTAAAATATCTTTGACTGCCGATTGCATTAATATCGGTTTAACGTTGATAAGTGTAGCCAGTGAGAAATTCATATCACTTTAGCGACAAATGATTTTACCGTATAAAACATACATTCCGGAATATTTCACTTTCTATGTTTTTTTCTTCTGGTTTTTTTTTTTTTTTTTTTTTTTTTTTTTTTTTTTTTTTTTTTCGTAGACTTTGAGGGTATGCTTCTGTGGTGATTATCAATTGACTCAGCAATAATATTGAAATGATAAAAGTAAAGAGTCGATGAGAAATTTTTGAGAAATTGCTCATCTTTCTTACGGATCAACTATCGTATTAAGAAAATCTCGGTCAGGCACTATTAAGGGCTACGTCATCGGTGTCTCATGCGATCTGCCACGTCTCCCTAGTAAACATCAAAAAGCCAAGATTGCAATTACATAAAGGACGTGATAAAACGTATCGTCCGCTCGTGCAAAATATCTGCTCTTGATGCAGTTGAATTATCAAGGGTAAAAAAGGCCGCTACTTGGCTGCGCAACATCAGCTTCAAGAATTTCTCGTCGCCTCTATAAATAATCGTGGCGGCGTAGACTTTCTTTTGGCTCTTAACGGTTAAATTTCATCTTCTTATTCTATTTAAGTCGTGTACTTCTTTGCTTATTGTTCGACCGATACAATTCTCTTTTTATACATTTATATATCCACGTATAAATAGGCTAGTCAAGCTAAAATTGCCGACAGAAATCTCTCTTGTTCCTTTTATTGAAACGGAGATTATTTTCGTGACGTACTAGTAATTTTTAGAAGCAATTTTTTGGAATCTTATATGGAGTTTAAAGAAGCCGAATGAAGTTATTTTTAAAATTTTTATATCCGTGGAAGAAAATTTTGGGCACTTTCATCCCATTAAGTGATATTTATGAAAGTAACCAAATCGTATTAAACGGATCCAGTTATGACCAATTCATCTCCTGATTTCAATGTAAATAACATGTAGCTTA